AAGGTGCATTCTGTCCAAAACTCAGAAATTCTGGTTAAAGTATTAAGGAATACAAGGTATTAATTTTACTGACAATTTGGAATACCACTAGTGGAAACACCAGATTAATCCTCATACATTTCTCTAGCAATTACTTTCTGCAGTCTTTTAGGACTTAAGCTTTATATCTGTAAGATATAGATATATATATATAAAAGATATATATATATATAGCTATAGACCACATACATTATATCTGTATAGAATAACTAGTTTTTATGATCATAAAATTTCTTGAACACCTACAGAACATAAAAGCACTCAATACAATTTCAGTAAGGTGGTCTCAGTAAAGTTGTTCTGTTTAAAAATCATGCAGTAATAGCTAAAGAAGGTGCTTTAAACTCATTTTTGTCACATGTCGTTGTACAATTAAGTCGGGCTACGCAGAAATGTACAGTAACATTGGCATAACTTTCTGTTGGTTTATATGCACTGTTTCTATCCTCTTGAGGGTCTTCAGGACAATATGCTACTATGAAAGAACTATGAATTCAATAAATGTCACTTTTATTGTCGGACTTAAAGTCTGACTCCTAGATTCACACTCTTAAAGACTACTCATAGATCTATTTCTCAGCTGTCCTTGAACAGAACTACTCTACGTTGATTACACAGACCTACAGTTGCTTAGCTAAAGCACACACAGATATTTTATAGATATGTCCAAAATCCCCACGACTTTCTGTGTAATGCATGATACCTGGATGGATGACAGCATGTCTCTTCCCTGGGAAGAGCATCCTCCTGAGCAAGCTCTGCAAGTTCCCTGCCAGTCACTGCCCTGAGTCCATCTCACCCACGTGCCCTCGGGGAGATGATCTAACACAACCTGTCCCGAAGCTACACAAAGTTAATGCCCTCCAGCATTTTCATGCTCTACCTCATGAAAGAGACTAACATTTTCATCTAAAAAAACAATAGGCATTTGAGCAGCTACTAAAAAGTTGTGCTCTTTTATTTCCTTTCCATATTTCATTTGTTTCAGGTTTTGATAGCTGGGTCAAGCTTGGCTAACCCAAACCCAATGTGTTTGGGTCTTGTGATTTGCCATGGTGATGTAATTCAGAAAACTTGGCTAAGACTGGATGGTGATATTACTGCTACTGGGCCTGAGAATTTAGTTCTAATCATGGAAATACCAAAAAAGATGAGCATTCTCTAATTCTCATCCCCTTTTGTCTCCGCACTCCACCTCCCATATATGCACTACAGCCTTAACAGAAGTGGATGTTTTTCATCCCAGATCATGTGACAAGTGAAGAATGGGGAAAAAAGCAAGACAAAACAGAATTATACAAATACAGCTTTTTGCCACACACTTGCCTACCATTGTTAGTAATTTAGAAATTAACAAACTTGTTATTTCTCGTTTCAGCTGTGGACACTCTCTGTAGTAATAACTCAGTTTTACAGAAGATTTTTTCTCTCCAATCTCCAGTTTACATGTACAACTTCTACTTTTTTATTCCCCACACTGAATTTCATTAAAGGTTGCACAACTGAATGACATAAAAGCACACAAACATGTTGGCATTAGACAAGAGCTTTTTTCAGCCATAGAAATTAACACTGAAATTCAGTTCAAGATATCCAAGAGATAACTACTCTTCTTTAAACGCTTGTCCTTTTCTAAGAATCAACACAATCAAAACCAATAGCCTACTACTAAAATGCTGCAGACTGAGAAAGTTTTTACTGATCAGAGCTTAAATCCAAAATACACATTTTCTCACTGGGGACATGCGGGAGGAAGGAGCATATATTCTATCAGGCTTTCCTTTGAAGGATTTCTTAAATTAGGACAACTTTACAATAACCTGGGGTTGGAGTTTCCTTTGTATTTTTAAAAGCAATACAAGCAGTACCTAAGTTAGTTCCACGGTCAATTGCTCAGAAATTACAGGCAATGAGAGCACAAAAACATGTACTACAGCCTGGAAATTCAGAAACACATGAGGTTTTATTATTGAATGACTTTGGACTGCAGGTCATCAAACCTTGAAATATTTTCTGCTAATTCAATATCCTTAGGGAAGAAAATAAGTAAAGTCTAAAGACATATACTACTTCCTTATGGAAAGAGTAAGCCAAACACCACTGATGCATACAGACAAATATCAAAGAGCAGGGCTGAAAAACACATACAGCCCTTGCATGAAAAATGAGGAGGAAAAAGAGGTACTGCATTTATTAGAGACCCATTCAATTCCTTAAGGGCAAAGCATCTACTGCCAAAGATTGCTCTCTGCCATCATAGCAAACATTTAAATTTTGATCTGAAAAATTTTGTTCAACTGTCAAGAGGTATAAACACCCTCTACAAATCTGCTAAAACTTTGCTTCCCAAAGAAAAAGTTAATTGGAAACTTACTGTTGGAGACATCTACAATTACTATCCTGCAGACATGAAAATAGAACTTTTTTTCTTTTGAACTACTGAGAAAATATGTATCAAATGACCAGAATAAATATTTTTTTAATGAGAAGTAGATAAAAAAAAAAAAAAAACAGAACAAACATGCGTGTCAAGCAAACCCCAACTCTGAAATTTTGCTTTGCAGGTTTTTGAGCCCTTTTATCATTAACTTCCCATCAAATGCAAGTAGTAGGATGACTGGCAAATGAAGAATAACTCAAGCTGAACTGCCACTTCTAATAACCCAGTTTCCATTTAAACAGTGAGATGGCCGTAGGGTTTGAGAATTTGTCACTACCATGTATACCCGCTGATAGTAAAGTAAATGCAGATGAGATGAGCCAATTTTAAACAACATACCCTATTTTACCCCTTTGGTCAAAAAAAAAAATCTATAGAGATACCATGAAAATTAACTACTTTTTTTTTAATGTAGGATAAAATAATTACTTTGTTTGTAAGGAATGCAGATAATTATTTTCAGCATTGCATACACGCAATAGAAACTTACCACTTTATACGTACAGCTAACAATGCAGACAAAAACAATTTTCACAATGAGAAAGTTTTGATCAAATAAACAAAGCAACAGTATTAGTTTGCATGTTAGCACTTAGGGATAAAGATTTAGCTTTTCTGCATTGAGACATTTAGTTGTGCCTCAGGGAGGTCACACACACAGGTCAATTAACAACTCCAACAGTCACAGCTATTTTAATAGATGTAGCAACCAATTCAGATTTCACTGCAAACATACCATCACTGCAAGAAAAATAAGGCTGTAATTTAACAAACAATCTAAAAAGTCCAAATATAATGCTTTTTTAAAACCTCAGCCTTCATGATCAAAATAAGAGCTTCAAGTAATAAATTCTGGTATGTTCAACAAAAAGTGACCAGGTTCCATGTTTCAAACTCATTTCGTATAGCTCATAACAGAGTGGGTTGGTTCTGGCCTGGCTATCAGTTTGCTTATCTCCCACAGTACTCAAAGAATTTTGCCAAACATGTACACTGTAAAAATTGGAATTTTGTTTTTTAGAAGAATACATCTTCAACACATAGGCTGAGTTTGAGAAACAATAAAAGGATTCCTCCAAGTTTATTATTCTAAAAATAGAACACTGAAAAAAGACTGCAGGTTCTATGGGATTTTCTTACCAGGTATATCTCAAATAGTTTATTAAAAAAAAATTGTATATTTCTGGTTTCAAAATATTGAATTTTTAATTTTTTTTAAATACAAAATATTCAGTGTTAACTTTCAGGTTTAGCCCATTAAAGATTAAATGAGAAATGTAAAACACTAGTGTAAGCACATTTTACATTAGCATCTCTATCCAGAAACTGCCAAACTGCCTATTAAATCTACTGAATAAGTCATGGGGAAAAAATGTCAAGAAGCAAGTAAATATGAATGACAGGCAAACAACCAAAGTGAAGATGAAGTCACATGAAAGGAGTGACAAAGGAAATCAGTCCAAAAGAAGTGCAAAAAGCACTTCGAGTTAACCTAGATTTCACAGTTAGTTCTGTTTGTGAATTTTCTTTTTTCAGGCACATATTTCCTGTAACTTTTGCTTGTATTAAGTATATGGTTAACTTGCAATATTGATTAATTCAGCATATAATTTAAATTTAAGTCAGTGGTTAGAATGAGCCAAAATATACTGGGTCTAAACAGAAACTAAGAGACACAAACCAACTGCCTAGAAAAGGACAAATCACCAGCACAACGGTCTCTAGCAAATTAGTCTGTAAAATGAATAAAGATTGTACTGGTCTAATTAAACTTATCTATCCACCTATAGATTTTATCTATCCACCTATGGATTTTTACCTTGTTCATTTCCCATACATAACATTACTGGGTTTCATTAGACCTTAATTTAACTTTGCTGAATTGTCAAGGCTTAGCATTAGAGTTTGTTCAATCACATCATCTTCATGATGGTCAATACAGGAAAAATTACACATATATTAAAGAAACCATACAGGTTTTTTGTATGCTTAAATATTCAAATAACACCAGATAACCCAGAAACAATATGCATTTAGAGTCTGGTTTAGAGGGCAGTAAGTAAAAATACGATAAACATTTTGTTTCAATAAATTGTTTGCATAAATGAAGCAATCGCAATTCTCAGATCTCTACAGCAAATCTGAGTTGACATTAGAACACATCCCTGCTAATTATAAACCACATTATATGTGTCAATTTGGCACCTCTAGCACGAAAAGCCAATCACTACTACTTTCACAAAACTGAAGTAAAACAAAATGACAACTAATGAGAAGACATCCCACACCCTCTAATTTTATATAAATTTAATACAACATGCACCACTGAGCAAGAGCCACTGTTAGCTCTCTCCCTGGCACCAGCAAATTTCTCCACTGTTTGATGATGAAAATGAAGTGGATCATTTATATTTACACACTGTGCACTGGGCAAGGGATTTGGCATCAATCGCTGTCCTCAACTCACTTTAAAATTAATTAATTCTTTAAATATTCTACAAAAGGAAGCAGAAATACTTACTAGTACAGAACTTCATTCGCTTCATGCCTTTCATATCTAACAGTTTCGCACATCATTCTGAAAGAGAAGAAGTCACTTGTAGTTACAATTTATATCAATGTCACAAAGACTTCACTTTCTGAAGTTACTCAGCATTTCCATGTGCCTCCACCACTAGCAGAAACTAACTATCAATTATAAGCTAAGCTGATTCATAATTTAAGAAAACAAATTGTTAAATAGAAGCATTAAAGTTATTAGTTCATCCAAGATCAGATTTGATTTAGGACATTAGATGTAACTGTTCTATAAAAAAAATTCTATAAAAATGGATAAAATTATACTGATCTCATTTTATAAAGCGATGTGATAAAGTTGTTTTATAAAAAACAATTCTGAATTTTAGAAGTGGATGGAAATATATTATATGCAACACTCATCAGAAATAAAACAATATAAAAACTGCTCCCATTTTCAAGACAGGTTCAATAGATAAAACAAGAAATTATGTTGCATGGTAAATCAATGCTTCTCATTTTGCTAAAATTGAGCAACTTGAAAATTACCATGAGATTTTAATGCTGAAATCCCAGAGGGCTCAAAGTAGAGAGAATTTCCTGCAGAGAAATCCTCTGTCTAGAGGGGAGGATTAAAGTACTTTTGCATTCACTGTCTCCCTGACAAATGTGGCATAATAGAGGGAAACTATAATAGAACTTACCACATATTAGGAAATCTAATGTTAATTTGGTGTAAAAAAAAATAAATCAATATGCCATTTCTGTCTATCGTCTTAAGGAAACAGCCCTACAAATTACTTGGGAGATAGGGGGGGAAGGGGAAGGAAACAAATCCCTCTGCCTCCCTTGGTCTTTCTATGGCTCTGAAGCAGACTGCAAACCCCAAGGCTATTTGACAGACAGACAGAGATTTGCCTAAGAGGCTCATGTGAACATTCAAACGAGTAACTATATTTAAATTTTGGAAGTAAATTTTCTTTCCTCACACAATTCATCCTCAGAATCTCAGTGTACCAATGACCAGCTGCCAGCAATGATGTCGTAAGCAGACAAAAGCACTCAAGAATTGCTGCTAAGGCAAAAACTCTCAAAAAAGTTGATTTGAGGCCTGGAAGAGTTAGTCTGGGCTTGATGTAACATTTAGAAAAGGCATTTCTTTGCCACTTCCTAGATCATTTATTTCAATAGCCAGCAGACTGCTACAAAAGCCACCTTAGCACTTACCTCTTGCAGGATTTTTATATATTAATTCAGCCCACAAAGAAATAATGCTTTTTCTGTCCAGAACTGGTAGGCTTATAGTGGTATCCTGACTATTCATAAATTGTTAACAGAAAATTGAGATTGTAATTCTGTTTTCTAATAAAATATCTATATAGGTATAGATACAAATTAGGCATCAAGTTTTATTACCACAGCCTTTCTTCCAACCCCATTATTTTAGATCTACTCTTTGGGCCATCTTTGAGAACTTTTCTTCCAGGCAATGTCTGTACTGTATATAATTAAGTATTATGTATTGCGTATCAATTTCAGCTAATGAAAAATCTTCCTGCTTCCTGGTACAGCAAAAAACTTTTTGAACCACAGAACCACCTCTTTTCAGACACTGCTCTCCACCAAAAAATTGGATCTTGTCAAAATCTTTTACAGACACTGAAAAGCTACTGTCTGCTTCTACCTCCTGAGCCCTCATCTTCTCTCTGATCCTCTGTTTTAAGAGGGAAGGGGAGTACGGACATGAAGTTACTGGTGAGAAGATACCAAAAAAAGAGTCATTGCTAGGAGTCAGATTTAAAAATTAAAATACTGCTCAAGGATAGTCCGTGTCCTACTGGTCTGAAATGATGCAAGGCAATGGGCCATCTAAGAGTAGGAGTTAGAGGAAACAATCACTTTAACAAGCAAGTTTTGTTCCCCTCTGAATTGGGATAGAAGGAAGCACATTCTTGATAAAGTCACGCAAGTTCACCACTGCCACTGAGTATTACAGCATTTTAGTCCCATTATTAGGACAGTAATAGAGGAAAAAAATGCCTCTTACAGAAGGTAGCCAAGCGTTTCAATTCTTGTGTTACAGTGGTACAGCGAGAAATTACAGTCACCAAGTGGCACAGACTAGATTGCTTCCTCAACTATTTGAAAAATTGAATTAGTTCTGGTCAATACTGGTGCCCAATTCTTGCTCAATCGCTCAAATGTGATCTTTGTCCGCTTCCTAAACAAATATAATAAATTCAATATGAGATCACCAGCAAGCCATGTGGTAAGTTATTTACTACTAGAGGCCACATTTAACACACTAGGTTTTAAAGAATCTCAGAGGTTTTTATGGCATTCCACTGCCAAAAGAAGAGTTGTATCCTAAAGGATACTATAAAAGCTTTCAGTTCAACATCTGCCAGGAGCCCAGCCTTTTCCATGTATGGTACTGTAAACAGAAGCTCTCTCTGAGGAATTCACTATGCTGGGAGAGCGAGTTCCACACATTCCTCAGCAGGAACCTCATTCTGCACAGGAAGCCAAGAAGTACATACCAACATACCACGCAACCATATGTGCACACTTTGATCTTTGTAAACAACATCGGTTCAACTCCAGCTATGCTAAACTTCATGTGCTAAAAGTCTTGCACATAATAACATAACACAAAATACTTTAGCTGAATATGACCACGGACTCCTTCCAAAGCAAAGTAATTACAGAGACTTCTTTGAAGTCAACATTCATATTGCAAAATGTGTCTTGATCATTTTGGAAGAAAGAAAACCCCGCCTTCTATTTTTTCCAAATTACAGAATATTGGCTTGGGAACGTGGGCTCACAGAATGACAAAGCAAAAGGCCAGAAATTAGAACCTAAACCAGCATTAATCAAGTCAAAGCTGCATCAGCATCTTCAGATGTGGCAAACGTTGGCATACACCAGGATGCAAAACAGCAGTTATTCACCCTCTCACCCCACAGAGCATACAGAAGATGTGCTGGCCTCCTTCTGCATTCTGTCAGCTTCACATCAATGCCTAAATACTCTTAGAAACCTCTGCTGTAAGATGCTTATGCGAGGACAACTGAAACAATTACATAAAAATCAAACAAACTCAAGTCTTTACAAAAAAAAAAAAAAAAAAAAAAAACAGGAGTTCCTGTGAAAGTTTTTACTTGAGGTCATTTGCTTCATGAAGCATTTTAGTAAAAAAAATGTGCATGACCTTTATTAGATATTTTTACTAAGTATCATTGGGTACAGCACACGCTGTACCCAATTTGTCTAAAACTTCCATGCAAAAGCAAGCACACACTGAAACAGAAGATGAATAACAGACTCCACTCTCATGATTATTATATTACATAAATGATTTCGTCTCTATATAAGCTTTCAATCAGGACTGGACCTTATACTCTGTACGTAAAGCATTTACTTCTAGTCTGAAAATTTGAAAAGAAAACAAATGCATCCACAATAGACATAAATAGGAAGGAACAAATAGAGATGTATATGCACACATACAAGGGGAAAGTGTTAGGACAATAAAGAGGGGAAGAAATGGATGCAGTGAAAGTCAGCTTTTCAGTTTGAGGTAGGGCGTATAAGAGGTAATATACAGTTAGCAAAATTACTGTTCCTTTGCTTTGTTAGTGCATTAACATATGTGTTTTTTAATGACAAAGTATCATACCTTAGCTGATGCTCTCTCAGATTCGACAAAGCTTCCATTCCATGTAAATACGAATAAACAATCTCCAAGTCCTACAAACATAAGGAAAACATTATTAGGATTCTCAGTTCGGTACAAGCTATTAAAATACCTCTTCAAAATTTTTTGAAAACATCCAAAGCTCTCCTGTTGGGGTAGTAGGAACATTTTCAGGAGGCTAAAGGCAAATTGCAGGAAAACCTTTGATTACATGTTGGAACCTGACATGGGGGAGAATCATACCACATTCACATCAAATACAGAAACCTTTCTGCTTCTGCTGTCATTATTCATTGTCTAGAAAACAAGCCTAATCCAGAATTACAAGAGAGCTACTTTGCAACTACCACTGTTCTGCTTTCCAAGGCCAATATACCCAAAACCCTTCATTTATTTCATAAAGCAAGGTCATAAGAAATAGGTCTTTTCCTGTTCAGGGGAAAAGAAAAAAGTACAAAACAGCCTAACAAAATACTCCATTGTACAGAGATATTTTAAAATTGTATCTTCTTCAAATGGAAGATGTGTCATAATCTTAGACATGAAAAAAACTGGCATGAGCAGAAAATTATTGGCATGAGATAATAGTAAAAAAAAAAAATAAAAAATGCAATCCTAGTTACATGGTAAAATGTTACTTTCACCGTTGTGGACCTCCAATACACAGCTCACAAAACATTAACAAAGAGATAAAAAGAGCATCGAAGACTAAAACTTCCTAAGATGCAACAAGGGAAACACCAGTGTCAGGCTAGAGGCTTTGCTCAATTTATATTTAAAATGACTACAGGACTTATGAGAAAACTTCAGTACAGCCCACAATCTCTAGGGTGATTTAACTTTAGATCACGGATTTCATACTGTTTCATCATCCTTTTTCTTTTCTTAAATTTGCTAGTTGAGAGACAAAGTATTATCCATTACTCACTGAAAATCAAGAGTAATGGTTCACAACCACTAGTTGAGGTTGATGAAGTTCAGAATAAACTAACACCAATACAACTCTCATAATTTACTCTAAGAAGATGTTCTCAAGTAATAGAATATAACTAAGCTAGAAATTTATGAAAGATTTGATCACTGTGAAATATTTGTGCATTTAAAACTGACCACAAAGTACAAGAAATACTTGTTTTCAGATACAATGACAGAATGCTAGATGTGGTATTTGAGCCAAGATGTTAGGACTGAAGTCACACAGAGAACTTGAATTTAAGAAAGAAAAATAAAAATAAAATCCATTTAAACACAGTAAGTGTAAAAATGTTGCTGTACTTGTTAAAACCATGGTAACATTTCAGAAAGGATACCAGGAGTTACACTCAATGGTTAAGGCTAAATAGATGTCTCTCATTCGGTATCAAACATTTTTTCTCACAATGAAAAGGCAAATGTTCAGTTTGAAAAAGAAGAAGAAACACACAAGCCAAAATACTGCAATTTCACTTCTATTCTGGTCCTTCTGTTCCCTTGCTCTCTAGAGGCCTTGGTCCTGTGAGGAGCAAAGGGCACAAAAAAGACACAAGTAATTATGCATGGTTTGGGATGGAGGGACCTTGCACAAAGAAGGCTTTGAAAAGAAAATACAGTCATTGCTTGCCTTTTTTTTTTTTTATCATTAATAAAAGTGTGTGAAAAGACATGTGTGCTGTAGTCAGTGACCTGCTCACTTGCTAGACAGGCTGAAGGTGAGTAGAAGCTCCCAGGAGCCCTGTGCAGGCAGCAGGGCAAGATGCAAGCCAGACAGTCTCCATGGCACCACTGCTGCTCATCCAGACTGTGCAGCACAAGGCACCAGCTACCATGGCAAGTTGGGAGTGGAGCACTGAGGATTAGATGCTCGTAGCAGCACATTAGATGGAAAAGAGTCTGGCCAGAAGGTGCTACTTTAACTAATTTCCTGCGAGTCTGTCTAATAACAAGATGAGACAGGAGAGTAACCTTTCTGCCACCAGCTTGCACTGAGGTTTCTCAGAAGTGGCAGAAATTTTATCTGCTGTAAAGTATTCCTAGAACAGATGTAGCTTACAGGGATCCACAGACCTAAAAGACATTTGGTTTCCAAAACTGATGGATGACACAAACCTAGTGACCCTACAAATATATAAAGCACTAATGAATGCAGGTTATGTTCCTAGAGAAATGCAGCTGAAGCGACTCAATGCAGAGGGAACTAATTAAATCATTGAAGGGAGTCAGAGAACCATAGAATGATTTGGGTTGAAAGGGACATTAAAGATCTAAACATTTAAAGATCTTTAATAAATAGGAGGGGCAAGGGGGGCAGGGGAAACCACGACTAAAAAAATCTTGGTTGCTGGCTAGAGATATCTCATCACTGAGAGAACTAAGGTGAGAGGCTTTTTTTTTCAATTTGCAAAAAAAGTAGCAAGAAAACAGTCCAGTAGCTTCAGCAGTTGGGTCGTATCAAAGTAAATAGTCATTATAACATCTCAGCTGACATGCACCGGCTGTTTCCGAAAAATGGCAAAGCGAGCTGCTGCCCATTCATTAAGCTGTATCTTTCCAGAGGGTGTCTGTCAGGTAACAGCTCCCTCTAGCACCAAAGGTTTGGCATTGAAATTGAAGTAAAAAATAACCAGGAACACTCCTTTCAATCAACTTCTCCATAACAGTGCAAGGTAGGGAAAACTGCAGTAGAGTCAAAACAGCAAATATATATCCATATATCGTCAGAAGGCACTGCATGCTTCCAATCAGTCTGCAGCATTAAAGAGCAGGAAAGCAATTTAAGAAAAAATAAAATCAGAATATCGAGTTATTGTCATTAGGACACCTCGGTTTTCCATTTATCTCAGAAAAAAATATGCTTTGTTTACTTAGCAAAAATACTCAACATCAAACACAGACAGCTGCTTTAACTTCTTAATTAAAAGTGAACTGACAGAATTCAAGAGTCCTTCAAAAATATTTGTGCCAAGTGTTGTAATGTCCTAAGTAGATTCTAAATGCCTGAAGGTCATTTCACAAAAAAACACACATACATAAAATTCGGCACGTAAGCTATGAAAGTTTTTGATTTTTATATCCTAGACACTTGACAAAAGCTAAACGTCTAAAACTCTCAGGCAAAGAACTTTGTCTTTCAAGGATGTAACCTGCCTATGTGATTTATGCCGGCTAGTTGAGCAAAACCCTTAAAGCAGCAGCTAAATTCAGCCCCACTGTGACTTAGACAAACATTCCTGCTAGCTCACAGTGTCCCTGAAACCTGCCTCTAGCAGGATATATAAAAACAGGCAGGTGACAGCAGCAGGCTGATACTGTTTTGGATGCCGCTTTTACAAGCCACGTACTCAAATGACCACAAGGTGGCAGACCGAACCTCAGAGAAAGTCATTCTCTACAGTTTCTCCCCTCATTTTTTTAAAATATAACTTTATAAGAGTTTTAAAATGCCAAGAGGAGCAAAGATAATCATCTCCACTACAACTGGCTGAATATTCTGCTACAGTAAAGACTACTTACACAAAAGCACACAGGATCTACCAACATTCTGCTTTCTAGTTCTATCCAGCCAGCAGAATTGAAAGGAAAAAATAAACCAGCAAAAGCCATGCAAGGGTTCAGCTGATCTTGCTACAAGAATCAAGTTCTATACAAAGATTGAGGCAACAGTTTGAAAAAACAACTCAATGCAAACTCCAAAACCAAAACGAATAGCACAAATTAGTACAGCTTTTAAAGCAAGGTTTTATTTAAATGAAAGATAAAAGACTTCATGAAATATAACCTCCACTTAAATCTGTACTGCAGCCAAAGTCACATGCTTTGGTTGCTGTGCGTGGAGTAGCACAAAATTTGCTTAATTCAGTGTCATTTCTTAATTTGCTTGTTTCCGTGGTGTCAGATGGCTCACTTTAAAGTTCTGACTGTACTTTGAAACAAAACAGAGACTCAAGTTTTAACACAGCTCAACTTCAATTAGATCGGTAGAAACATATTGGTCTGCAACCTTACCTCTCCTCTCCATTCTAATAAAAGTCTGCATATGTTTATGCCCAGTCATTTCTATTCATTTGATTTGTGCTTCAAACCTATTTGGCAAAAAAAACAGAATGCCAGGCCCAAATTCATACTAGCTAAAGGAAGAAATTTTTACTTTAGTAAGATAATAGAGATGTGAAAAATTTCTATTTTGGACTGAAAAACTTAAAACCTCTCTAAAAATAGTAAGCTTACACTGGCTTCAGTCTTGGTTTGCATGAAGGTGTGAACCTACAGGCCCAACTCAATTATTCATCCTTGCCACAGTTAAGCAAAATGCTGAGAAATTCATTGCTCTGTGAGTAAGAAATCCACTCATTTCTGTGAAGTGGCAAATAAGACAGCAGCTTTCATCTTTTAATAGTTTGGTTTCTTTTTATATCAAAGGGCAAAAATAAAACGCAAGCTAATTCCTTAATTCATTGTCTTGAAGGCAACCGCTCATGCAGCAGGGAAAAGGTAGGACCTCAAAGTCTTCGATGGGTTTAAACAGACCATGAAACTGCTCACAAAAAGAGAGGCATTTGTCATTTCTATATGGTTGACTAAACACTTATTTTAGCTCAAAGTGGGAACTCCCCAAATTGTGATGTCCTAACAAGGCAGCAATGCCAAGTTTTTTCCTTCTTCTTGAGCAATGAAGCCACAATCCAAACCCAAGTTGCTGAAGTCCTGTCTATCTTTCCTTGCAGTGATAGGATCCTGTCTTTTTCCCTTTTCTTCACACACCCAGCACCTGAAACCATTTGACTCTCAGCCACTCAGGTAGCTATACCAAGCACTTATATTTTCTTTTTTTCTTCTAGCATTGATTTAGCACTGGTCTGTCTGCCTGCCTATACTGGCTCACTGAGGCCAAAGCAGTGCCAGCATCACCAAAATAAGACTGGACTACAGCAGCATCAACCCCATCTAGCTTAAACAAAAATTTCCATGTCCACAGAAGAGACATGGCCACTCCCAAGTATGTTTGTTCACATCTGGTTCACACTAAAATGCCAGGCTCTCACTAACAGCAGCTCAGAAGATGACACAAGTTACTGCC